TTTTACTGAGAAATTTCTCATCTATGTTCATAAGGCAGATTAGTCTATAATTTTCTTATTGTTATATCTTTTTGTAGTTTGGGTAACAGGGTAATAGTAATTTCATGAAAATAATTAGGATATGTACCTACTCCTTTAGTTTCTATCTTGAGGAGGGAGTGATTTGAGGATTATGGACATTAATTCATCTTTGTAATTGTGGTAGACTTCATTACTGAATCTATCTGGCCCTGAGACTTTCTTGATTGGGCGATTTTAATTAGTGCTTTTATTTTACTAAGGGATAGTACTCTCCTTAAACTGTTTATTTCATCTTAATTTAAATTTGTTAAGTAATATATAGCAAACCTTCCTTTTAGATCTTCCAGTTTTGTGTAACATACAGTATTTTCAATTATTATGATTCTCTGATTTTCCTTGGTATCTGTTGTAATAGCTGTCTTTTCATCTAGTTTTAATTCATGGTTGTCAGATAGGATACAGGATGTTATTTCCGTTTTCTAGTATCTGTTGAGGCATGGTATGTGTCACAATGTATGCTCAGTTTTGGATCAATTTCAATAAGCTGCTGAAAAGAAATAATATTATGGTGGAATTTTCTGTGGTTATTGGGTATGTGTAGCCAAGTATGTTGATTTGATTTATAGTGTTATTTATCTCTAGCATTTCTCTGTTTAATTTTTGTCTGGATGGCCTGCCTAGTTACAAGAGTGAGGTACTGTAGTCATCTACTATTACTGTGTGAAGGCCAATATGTAATTTTAACAATAGTAGTGCTTCTTTTGTAAACTTGAATACCCTTATGCTTGGTGCATTCATGTTTAGAATTTTAATATCATCTGTGTGGGTGTTTCCATTAGTGAATATGTAGTTTCCTTCATATCTTCTCTGATTAGATTTGCCTGAAATATATTTTATCAGATACTAACGTAACCTATGCTTGAATGCTTATGGCTTCCATTTGCTTTGAATACCTTTTCCATTTCCTTTCCCTAAAATTTCTGTTTAACATCCTAAGTTTTTCATTTCCAATTTTAATTTGGGGCTATTTGTGATTCTATTTTTTGTTAAAATCTAGTTTTGTTTAAGTTGTTTTCATTAGTTCATGTTTGTGTTTGGACAGACTTCATTAAGGCATTTATTCATATCCTCTTTAAGGTCATTGAACATATACATAGCTACTATTTTGCAGTCCTTGTCTTGTGCTTCATTATAAATTGCTTTTCTCAGGGACTATTACAACAGTCTTGTTTCCTTTTGGAGGAAGCCTATTGTTTTGATAGTTCATGCTTGTGTTTTTGTGCTGAGATCTAAGCATGTGGAATTATGACATTTGACATGTTTCTTGTGGATATCTGGTCTCTGTTGGATGGGTGTTTCATTCTTTGGATGTTGTTGCCCTTTCTGGGTCCAGGCCAAGTATTGTGGTTGTGTAGTCCCTGAATCCAAAATAAGTGTAGTGTCAGTTTCAATGGGGTTCGTGATAGGGAGGAGGTCTGCATCACATCCAGTTTTTGTGTCTGTGATGTCAATATGCCACATTGTCAGTTTGATGCAGAGCATCAAGGCATGAAGATGGCTCAAGGTACCTTGAGGAAGACAACTGGGGATTCTGGGTTTACATCAAGAAGCTGAGTCCCTAAGGGATAGAGATGGGCAAGGAAGAGAGTCTTAGACTGGCAGGCTATAGCATAAGGATTAGGGATAAGTTTGGAAAGGCTGTAATGGAGAGCATAAATTTAGTGTTTTTAGAGAGAATTACTTCAAGAAGTATATGACAAACAGCTAAAAAAATGTTTATTTGAAACTACATATTTAAATATGGAAGTTTTTTTTTTAATTTATCAGGTCTCATGGAACAAATCTAGTACCTATATAAGATTATAGAAAAAAATAATTAATAAGATCATTGTGCCTTGGTTATAATTTAAAAATGGGTTTATGAGGGCTAGAAAGATGGTATAGTGGTTATACTGGATCATGATCACCTGCAAATACTGCTGGGGCATCCAATGCTTCCTTCTATCTTTACTGGGCATGGGGACACATGTAAATACAGACACATACACACAAGTTTAAAAAAAACTCGAAAGAAAGACACTAAATTACTATTTGGTTTTGCCTGCTGGATTTGGTAATGTTTTTCCTTTATTGTCTACAAACTTAAAAAAAACATGGTTAAGAAAAACAATTAAAAATTATGTGCATATCTTAAACTAATTGTATTTTATTATGAATAGTTTAATGTTGAAAATGTACATGAACTTTGAAAAAATGTAATATAATGGAAAATTGATTTAGAGAACTTTACATTCAAGTTAGTCTCTTATGAAAAGGACTGAACAAAACTTGATAGGTCTCCTATATTATTATTCATCAAAAATTTGTTTTGTTCTTTCTAAAAATAAATCCTCAACAGAAAACATCAGCTGTACCAGAGGCCAGGCCTGATCTAGGGATCCAAGACAAGACACCACCCTCCACCCAATAACACTCCTTAAAGCTCTCTCAATAAACCCAGGTTTCACCCCAGTCTCATGGCCTGCATATTCAGGGCCCCAATTCTGCAGAAAACTTCTGCTGTACTGGACGCTACATTGCACCAGGAATCCCAGAAGCAAGCCAGGTAACCAAAACCCCAGAGGCCACATTAGCACGTGGGACGACAGGGGAAACACTGCCACCAAAAATACCAGAAGTCTTACAGGACCTGAAAACCCCAGGAGAGACAACATAATGGATATGAAGACTCCCTAAAACCATTGGCACTTAGGCCAGAAGACCAGAGAAGAATCAGAAACCAAGGAACAAAACACCCATCAACAAAGATGAACAGAGGAATCAACGCTCATGGCTATAGTCATCCCAAACCCAGGTGCATAAACACAGTGTAATAACATAATCAACAACAGAAAAGGCAATGCAATACCACCAGAACCCAGCTATTCTATGACAACAGGATCTGAACATATCAATGCAGCAGAAGCACAAGTATATGACCCGAAAACCAACTTTATGAAGATGCTAGAGGTCCTTAAGGAGGAAATGAAAACATCCCTTAAAGAAATTAAGGCAAAGATTAAAAAAAGAGGAAATAAATACATCCATTAAAGAATGCCCATAAAGTCAAGAAAAAACAAACAGGTGGAGGAAATGGCTGAAGACCTGAAAATGGAAATAGAAGCAATAAAGAAAACACAAACTGGCAGAATTCTGGAGATGGAAAATCTGGGTAAGTGAAGACAAACTACAGAGGGAAACATCACCAACAGAGTAAAAGAGATAGAAGAGAGACTCTCAGTCATTGAAGATACAATAGAGGAAACAGACTGATAGGTCAAAAAAAAGTTAAATCTAAAAAAAAAAAAAACAAAATCCTGTCTCAAATAATCCAAGAAATCTAGGACATGTTGTGAAGACCAAACTTAAGAATAATAGGAATAGAAGGAGAATAATCCAAGCTCAAAGGCATATAAAATCATAGAAGAAAATTTTACTAATTTAAAGAAGGACATGCATGTAAATGTAAAGAAGCTTACAGAACACCACATAGATTGGAACAGAAAAATAAAATCTCATCATCATACAATCAAAACACTAAACATAAAGAATAAAGAAAGAATATTGAAAGCTTCTATGGAAAAAGGCCAAGTAATATAAATGCAGATCTATTAGAATTACCCCTGATTGCTCAATAGAGATACTAAAAGCCAGAAGGGCCTGGACAGCCAGTTTTCTTGAAGACTCCAAGAGACCACAGATACCATCCCAGACTACTATACCCAACAAAGCTTTCAATCACCATAGATTGAGAAAAGAAGATATTTCATGACAAAGTCAAATTTAAACAACATCTCTCTATAAATCCAGCCCTACAGTAGGTACTAAAAGGAAAAGTGAACCCCAAGGAGGTTAACTATACCCATTAAAACATGGGCAATAAATAATCTCACAGTAAAACCCAAAGAATGGACAAACACAGACATGCACACACTCTCGCTTACATACACACACTACCCTTACCACCACCAACGACAAAATAACAGGAATTAACAATCATTGGTCATTAATATCTCTCAATTTTAATGGATTCAAATCCCTAATTAAAAGACACAGGCTAACAGAATGGACACTAAAACATGACCCATCCTTCTGTAGCATACAAGAGACACACCTCAACACCAAAGATAAGCATTACCTCAGAGTAAAGGGTTGAAAAAAGATTTTCCAAGCAAATGGACATAAGAAGCAAGCTGGTGTAGCTATTCTAATTTCTAACAAAATTAATTTTAAACCAAAAACACTTAAAAGAAATGAACAGAGACATTTGATACTCATCAAGGGAAAAATTCACCAAGAGAATATTTCAATTCTTAACATCTATGCCTCAAACACAAAGGCAACCATATCTGTAAAAGAAACATTACTAAAGCTTAAATGACACATCAGACTTCACACATTGATAGTGGGAGACTTCAATATTCTACTATCACCAATGGACAAGTCATCCAGACAAAAATTAAACAGAGAAATAATGGATCTAACAGATGTTATGACTCAAATGAATCTAACATATATCAACAGAATATTTCACCCAAACAAAAAAACAATATGCCTTCTTCTCAGCACCTCATGGAAACTTCAAAATTGATCACATACTGAAGGGTTTACAACACGGTCGCATTTACCAGGCGGACACTTCCGCCTAGCCATTTCCGGATCAAAAGCGTCCCTCGTAGCTAGGATACCCGGTGGGCCCGGATATCTCCACCCAGCAAGTTCCGGGACAAGGGGTCTCGCATGATCAGGGTCCGTGACATTGCATGGTCATGTAAGCGCGCAACGTGACCATGTGATCTGCGCACATGTGTAGAGTAGTGACGTGACCTGGCCACGCCCCCAGCCGGTTTTAAAAGTCCAGCGCCATTTTCCCCACTCCCCTCTTCTTCACGCACGTGTCTCTCCCACAGGCCTGCACTCTCTGTCCCTTTGTTTTCTAATAAACTCTCATAAGCAGATTCTGTCGTGTTTCGTGATGTTTCCTTACAGGGTAAGAACACAATGCAGCCAGAAAACTAACATTTTTGGTGCCGTGCCTGAGCGGGCGCTCCTGGGCGCTTTCCGCCGGCAGCCCGCGAACCGGGGAATCTGCTCCGTATGCGACAGACCGCTCTCCATTCGCCTGAATCGCATCCAAATTGCATCCAACACCGATCGGATTGGTGAGTCCCCCCACTTTCGGGCCAGCATAAACGGTTTCCTGAACCTGTGGGAACGACCGTTGATTGTCCGGCGCCTCACACGTGTTCTTGAGACCGGGGGAACCCCCGACCACGGTCTTCATTGGCTACGGTCGGCCCCTATCACAGGCCTAACTTTTCTAGCTGTCTCCCACACCTGCAACCTGAGATATTTTTCGCGTTGGGGGCCACTGTCGGGGTGCGCCCCTGTAAGCCACGTGGGGTCGACACGCCCATTCTTCCAACGGGAAGACAAGCGCTGTCCGGATTCTCGGAGATTCCACCCCCCACCATGGAGGGGGGCCCTGCTTCTTTGGCTGACGAGCCTAGAAGCAGCCTGTGCCTGAAATCCGCCCTTGATCCTGGGGACGCCTGAGGTCTTGGCTCCGGATTACATTTCTTTTTATTTTTTTATTTTTATTATTTTTCTGCCTCTGCTGCAGACATGGGAAACAAGGCTTCCAACCCTGTTAGTCCTTCCTCTCCATTGGGCTGTCTTGTTTAAGCTTTAAAACCTCTCAGTTTAATGCCTTATGTAAAGATTTATAAGCTAACTCGTTTATGTTTAAAAAAAAAAAAAAGTGGCCAAAGTATGCTTTAAAAAATAACAAAGGGCCACCAAGCGGCTCCTTGGATCCCGATATTTCACGGGAGCTATCCAATCACTGTCGGCGTTCAGGCAAATGGAAAGAGTTGCTTTCTTCTCTCTCAACGCTAAACTGTCTCTTCTCGTTTCCTTCTCTCCTGCTCATATGCTCCTAGCTATACGTAAACCAGAGGATTCTCTGACTCCGGAATTTCTGACTCTAGATCTTGCTAAGGAACCAATAATTAAAATTCATAAAGCTGGGTTCTTATACGTCTAATTCTGCTTCCTTTATTAAACAGTTTCAATATATAACTCAATCTTATAGTCTCACCTTTCATGACCTTCTGAGGAGCTCAGGCGGGTATAGGAGCAGGCTAGGATTCACGCAGACGAAATTCATCAAACTAACCTTTCACACCCCCCAGGAGCCGAGGCGGTTCCTGACCGGGAGCCACACTGGGACTACAACACCCAGAGTGGCTGTCTAGCCAGAGATAGGTTTATTACCTGTCTCCTGACAGGCCTCCATAAGGCTGCCCTAAAACCAGTAAATAATTCAGGATAAGGACGAATCCATCTCTTGTTCCCCAGACCTTCCTGACTAAAACTTAAGTATCTGGAGAGCAAGGCTCCTGACCCCACAGGCAAAAGAGTCACCTGTGGCATTTAAGGTGTGCCAGGGAAGAGATAAAAGCCCAAAAACAAAATTGCCAAGTGCTGGCACTCGCTGACTTCCAAAAGCTGTTGGGTCCCTGTTTTAA